CGAACCCGCCACCTTAGGTGTACGTGGCTGGCGCCTTAGCCGGTTGAGCTATAGGCGCCGAGCCCCTCAACTGGTTTTAACAGCAGTAACTCCATTTCTGTTCATTTAATTTTTTTAGAGATTACTTTAGCAGTTATAACATTCATGTTTATGTTATCAAAATTACTTATCAGAGTTTAAATATCAACAACAAAGAAGCCATCAATTCTGTATTGACAGGTTGAGGTAGACTTTCTAGAAACCTTTAAAAAATATTTTTAATATATAAAAATAGTCTGTAAAACAAGTTCAAATAACACAGAAGTAAAAAATGATAGTTGCCTTCTCTTATCACACCACTTGGTGTGTGTACTTCCAGAACCTTTTTATAAATGAGCATATGGTTGATCCTTTTTAAAAAAATGTGAATATTAGGCCAGGCGCGGTGGCTCCTGTAATCCTAGCATTCTGGGAGGCTGAGACAGGTAGATTGCCTGAACTCACAGGCTGGAAACCAGCCTGAGTCAGAGTGAGTTCCTGTCTCTAAAAATAGCTGGGTGTTGTGGCAGGTGCCTATAGTCCCAGCTACCCGGGAGGCTGAGGCAGGAGAATCACTTGAGCCCAAGAGTTGGAGGTTGCTGCAAGCTATGACACAATAGCACTCTTCCCAGGGCGACTCTGTCTCAAAAAAAACAAAAAAAAAAACCAAAAAAAACCAGTGAATATGCTATGTGTTTGCTGTAAACTTTTTTTTAACTTTGCAATATGTCATAGACATCTTTTTGTGTCAATACATGCAAATGTACTATACTCCATTATTTTTAAGGATAATATAATATTGCATCAAATGAATCATAGTTTACTTAAACATATTCCTTTTGATGGGAAATTTACATCAACACCAATTTTTCTCTGTTAAAAACAGTACTGCAGTGAATATAGTACTATTTCGGTGTACATAAATCATTGGCACCCCTACAAATCTTTCTGTAGGCTAGATTCTTTTTTTTTTCTTTTTGAGACGGAGTCTCACTACATCACCCTCGGTAGAGTCATGGCGTCACAGCTATATTTTTTTGTTGCTGTTGTCATTGTTGTTTAGCTGGCCCAGGATGGTTTCAAACCTGCCAGCATGGATTTATGTGGCCAGTGCCCTAACCACTGAGCACAGGCGCTGCCAGTTTCTTTTTTTGTTTTGAGACAGAGTATCACTTTGTTGCCCTCAGTAGAGTACTGTGGAGTCACAGCTCATAGCAACCTCAAACTCTTGAGCTAAAGTGATTCTCTTGATTCAACCTCCCAAGTATCTGGGACTACAGGCACCCCACAAAATTCCTAGCTATTTTTTGTTGCTGTTGTCGTTGTTTTAGCTGGCCTGGGTCAGATTCAAACCTGCCAGCCTCAGGGTATGTGGCTGGCTCCATAACCATTGTTCTACAGGTGCCCAGCCTAGGATAGATCTTAAAAGTGGAATTTCTGGCTAAAAGGGAATACATTTAAAATTTTTTCATTAAAAGAATTCAGATAGGGTGGCACCTGTGGCTCACTGTGTAGGGCCCCAGCCCCATATACCGAGGGTAACAGGTTCGAACCCGGCCCCAGCCAGACTACAACAAAAAAATAGCCAGGGTTGTGGTGGGCACCTGTAGTCCCAGCTACTTGAGAGGCTGAGGCAAGAGAATCTCCTAAGTCCAAGTGTTGGAGGTTGCTGTGAACAGTGACGCCACGGCACTCTACCAAGGGTTATAAAGTGAGACTTTGTCTCTAAAAAAAAAATACAAATTCAGATAGCTGCAAGAAGTTTAGTATGATTGGAATCTACTGGGAGAGATGAGGTAGATGGTTGGTGGGAGATCCTGAAGGATCTTGTGAGCTATTTAAGCAGGACTATTTGAAAAGTTTTAATTGGGGAATAAATTGAACATATTTGTATTTTAGAATGTTTATTCAGACACAATATGGAAGATCTATTGGGGCCTAAATAAGATGCAGGGAGGTCAATTACAATAGATTTGAAATAATATTGAATTAATGTAGCAGTGGATAGAGGGGTATATTAGGGAGACATTAAAAATTAGATCTGAATAACCAGTTGGAAGGGGGAAAAGAAGTAGGAGTGAAGGTTTCAGATAGTTTGGGTTTTCAGTGGGAAGCAGTGCCATTAACTAAGAAAGGAAATATAATAGGAAGTAGAAGATTTGAGGGTAAAAAACCAAATGAGCAGAATTTTATTTACTTATTTTTTTGAGACAGAGTCTCACTTTGTCATCCTTCATAGAGTGCTATGGTGTCATAGCTCACAGCAACTTCCATCTCTTGGGCTCAAGCCATTCTCTTGCCTCAGCATCCTGAGTAGCTGGAACTACAAGTGCCTGCCACAATGAGTAGCTATTTTTAGAAAGGGGACTTACTCTGGCTCAGGCTGGTCTTGAACCTGTGAACTCAGGGCAATCTACCCACCTTATCCTCCCAGAGTGCTAGGATTGCAGGTGTGAACCACCTTGCCCAGCTTCAAATGAGCACAATTTTAGATGTGTTCTATTTGAGGTGTTTCCAAATAGAACTCTTCATAAGGTTACTGGGTGTATAGACTTAAAGCTTGTAGAAAAGGTCTACTAGGGCCCAGGGGTGTCCAACTTGAGTCTTGTAGGCCACATGCGGATTATTTGAGGACTGTTTTGCTTATCTATGGTGTCTGATATTACAGATATATACATGGACCTTTTTGTTTGTTCTTCAGCTTTTAGTTAGTGTTTGTATATTTAATATGTGGCCCAAGACAATTCTTATTCTTTCAATGTGTGGCAGAAAAGAAAAAAGGTTTGGACACTCCTGGTGGCTAAAGAGAGAGATTTAGGAAGTGTTAAGGTATAAATGGTAGCAAAAAGCCTGGCCTAAATGTCAGAGTTTGTCATACACGTGTAAAATCACCAGTGATCTGAAAATGTTAGTAAATAGTAGAAAAAAGGACTAAGGACAGAACTTTCAGCCTTTGTGGGCAGTTGGAGAAAAAGCAGTAAGCTGAAGCTGAGCCAATAGAATGAAAATGAGGGGTCAGTAGTATCTTGGGAGCTGAGGGGAAAATGATTTTAATCAGAAGTATTAACATAGAGTGTCAGATATTACAGTGAGATTGTATGTGATAAAGACTGAGAAAAAACTATCATTGGATTTAGAAATTAACTTCCTTCCAATGAAGTAATCTAAATGAAAATCAGATTTTAGTGAGTTAAAGAAGGAATATAAGTTGAGAAAATGAAGACAGCAATTATAGATTAACTGCTTAAGGAAGAAGGGACACTGACATTTATTGAATGCCTACTGGGTTTCAGGTACTGTACTTGGGGGATGTGTATGTTAACTAAGACACCAATAATGGATTTAATTACTGGCATTTCTTTTTTTTTTTTGCAGTTTTTGGCTGGGGCTGGGTTTGAACTTGCCACCTCCAGTATATGGGGCCGGTGCCCTATTCCTTTGAGCCACAGGCGCTGCCCTGGCATTTCTTTTCTTTTTTTTTTTTTAATGGTATCTGGGGGTAGTAGTCTTTTATTTATTTATTTATTTTTTGGCTGGGGCCGGGTTTGAACCTGCCACCACCAGTATATGGAGCTGGCACCCTACTTCTTGAGCCATCAGGCACCACCCCTGGCATTTCTTTTGGCTAAAAAATATATATCTTTTGCTCAAAATCATTGTCACTTTGTTGTACATATAAGGTGTGAGCACCTCATTGTTTAATAAGGAAAGGGAACCTCTTTCATTTCTTGTGGTAAAAATTTTTGTTCTTCATCCCTCTGAGGGGGAAAGTTGGTACTGAATTTTATCTACATTGTATCCTTCATCCTCTTCTAAACTTAAACAGAATTGTGCTGACCATTGTCCTTCACTCTCAGGCCCGGTATGAAAGCCAGCGGATCCAGATGGAGTCGGAGCTGGCTATGCGGCTGGAGCAGCAGGTGACAGAGCGGCTGGCACAGGCTCAGGAGAGCAACCTTCGGCAGACAGCCTCCCTGAGGGAACATCATAGGTATGGGACTTACTGGATGCTGCTTTTCCCTAGCAAGTATTATTAGTGCCCTGCCCACATCTTCATGGATGTCATTATCATTTTCCAACATACTGGCTCCCAGAGTACTTTCAGTCCATCAGGCAGGACCTACGTCTCTTTTGGGAAGGCTGCCTTGAGGTGCTCATTGAGTGCCAGAAGTGCCTGGGAATTTTCATTCCATAGGGAGGAGCCTGTAACCCCAAACTAACAGGTACAGGACTATAAACTTCCCAACCCCCTTGTGGGACAGTGCTGAGGCACCTGCGTTGTGCTGTCTTCAGAGCTGCTCTGTGGGATTGAGCCTCCTTCGTAGCTCAGTCTCACTTCTCCTCGCTCCCATCAATATTTTCTGGAAACACTTCTTAAATAAATCACTCTCCCATAAGACCCCAGCCTTGTTCTTTTCTTTGTCCTGTGCTGTGGCCAGGCTGGCTGTGCACCCATGATGTCTTTTTCTCATGTGGCCATATTTTTAATCTAATTTCAGTCCTCTTTTCTCACCTATGGCCTTTTAGGAAGCAGTTGCAGGACCTGACTGGACAGCACCAGCAGGAACTGGCCAGTCAGTTGGCTCAGTTCAAGGTGGAAATGGCAGAACGAGAGGAACGGCAGCAGCAGGTGGCTCAGGACTATGAACTCAGGTACTGGTTCCGGGAGTGTCCATTTTAGGCCTCAGCTCCTTTCCTGTTGGTATAGTCCACACTGGGAATGGTATAGAGCCACTCCTTGGTAGATCTGTCTTCTAAATTTGTCCTAGCTCTTTTCAGAATTTCAGATGTCTCACATTCCATTTTGGTTCTTATCCTTCAATTCTCTGCTTCCTTACCGGCCCTGACTTAACCTCTCCCCTGTTTTCTTCAGACTGGCCCGGGAGCAAGCACGAGTACAGGAACTACAGAGTGGAAACCAACAGCTAGAGGAACAGCGGGTAGAGCTGGTAGAGCGACTCCAAGCCATGCTGCAGGCGCACTGGGACGAGGCAAACCAGCTGCTTAGCACCACTCTCCCTCTTCTTAACCCTCCAGTATGCATTGCTGCTTGAGCCAAGCTATTCAGTGTTATGTTCTAGATTCCATCTTTGGAAATATAGCTCCCTCCCAAGGGAAGTCCTAAGTTCAGTCCCAAGGACTTACATCAGGGGAAAATTTGGTAGACTTTCCCAGAGAATAACCATCTCATCTTTTTTTCATGGCTGTGGCTCACTCAGACTAGCCTCATCCATTGGTATAGCTTTCTTCTCCCAGTCTCAAGAAGTAATGATTAATATGTGGTATTAGTTTTATAGAATGACGGCTAAATGAGGGAAAGGGCCAAAGATTGTTGTTAAGTCCTGCCCTAGAGTACTGTCTCCCTGCAACCCTTCTTATGATGGCACCTCCTACTTCCTTCTTTTAATTATGAATTATTAGCTATAATATTTTTCAGGATAATAAAATGCACATGGTAAAAACAGTCCAAACTGTTCAAAAAGGTATGCAGTAAAAAGTGATCTCCATTTTATCCCTGTGTCTCACTCTTCCAGTTTCTCTCCCCAGAAGCAACAACTGTGCTGGTGTCTTGAATGTCTCCCCACTTTCCCTTACCCACCCTCCCTGGCCTGTACACCAGATGGTTGCCTTCTATATACCGCTTTTATTCAATCAAGTGTTTCCTATATTTTGTATCTACAAACAGTACTACAATAAATATCATTAATATATCTTTGTGTAAGTACATATATAAAATTTCTAGAAGTAGAATTGTAAAGTCAAAATTAAGCAGTTTAAAATTAGATATAAATTTGACGTTACCAAATCTCCTTTTCAAGAAGTTTTAATAATTTATAATCTTACTAAAGTGTCTGTACCATGTCTTAGCTCTTTAAACTCATTGGGCTTTGATCCTTCCTTCTTCCTTTCTCTTGGCCAGGTTCCTCCCGCTGGCCGCTCCAGCCCTGTACCTCAGGAGCCAGAGAAGGGGGAAAGGAGGGCCTGGACTGTGCCTCCTGTGGCTGTGGCCCTGAAGCCTGTATTGCAGCAGAGCCGGGAAGCAAGGGATGAGCTGCCTGGAGTGCCTCCTGTTCTCTGTAGCTCCTCCTCAGATCTTAGCCTCCTGCTGGGGCCTCCTTTCCAGAGTCAGCATTCCTTCCAGCCCCTGGAGCCCAAACCAGATCTCCCTCTACCCACAGGTAACTGAGAACAGAGGTCACTGGGGTTTCCCTTACAAGCCAGAATTGGTCCCCTCTTACCTACCTTCCTTTCTGTCTGGAACTTGAGCATTTAGTTTCTCAGATGTCTTATTGATCATATGTTGCAAGGCACAGAAATTTGCTCATGTTGGTTCAAATATGGGGAATGAGATCTGAAGGAATCAGTATCACTGGACTTAACAAGAACTGGAGCTGGGAACAAGGGTGCTGTCAGGAACTGAGGCAGCTGTCCTTTCTCTTTGTGGGCCTGAATACTCTGTTGGCACTGCCTCTCCTACACATATGTTCCTTTCTCTGGCTAGCCCAGCATTCTCTCCTACGAAGGGTTCTTGGAACTCACAACTTTGGCTTGCACGTGAGTTTGTCCAGCCATCACACTAACGGTCGCTAAGACTCTAGATATTTAAAGAGACATTGATGTCTCCATTTTTTTAGGTCCAATTAAAAGGGGCCATCAGATGGGTTGTTAACCATCTATTGGATTTGGCTGACTTTGGGTGTGGTTTCTACCTCGACTGTGACTTGAATGGATGGGGACGTTCTGTGCAGTAGCAGCATCACTACATGGGTCAAATTAAGAACAAGGGATAAACTGTATCAGAATTTAAAAATTTTAAATGATGTAGTAAAAGGATTGGGGGCATGTTCTGATAAAGAGACCAGAACCTGTTAATCATTTCTTTTTTTTAAAGAGTTACACTGGTATTTGTTTGTTTAGAGTTTGAGTACCACAGCTTTCTTCTTTCTGTATTACTATCTTAAAATTCAGCTGTGTCATCTCCTAGTTACCATCAATCCTTCTTTCTCCATCTCTTAAACTTCCATGTCTCCTTCTCCTAGTTGTGATGTTTCTCTTACATTCATTAGGTTCTTCGCTTCTGGGTATTTGACAAATCAATCTGTGGAGGAGACCCTCCTCGCTCCAACACAAGTATACCCACACACAGCTGTTTTACTTTATAGCCGGGGCCTTCTCCTCTGCACTTGGAGCCTTTCATCCTGATCACAGGGCAGAACGGCCATTCCCTGAAGAAGATCCTGGGTCTGAGCAAGAAGGCTTCCTAAAGCAAGGGATGCTGCCTGCTTCTCAGCTGGAGGGCCTCAAGAATTTTTTGCAGCAGGTAAGAGAAATTCCACCTAGACTAGTTCATTTCCTTCTTCAGTTCCTCATTCCCTCTTTCTTCTTTCCTAGGAATCCAGGAATCTGGCTTCATTCCCTTACTTTTTTTTTTTTTTTTTCAGTTTTTGGCCAGGGCCAGGTTTGAACCACCACCTTTGGTATATGGGGCCTTGAGCCACAGGCACTGGCCCCCCTATTTACATTTTTTTTTTTTTAAGAAACAGAGTCTTGTTCTGTCACCCATGTCAGAGTGCAGTGGCACAGTCCATAGCTCACTGTAGCCTTGAACTCTTGGGCTCAAGCAATCCTCCTGACTCATCCTCCAAAGTAGCTAGGGCCTTAGATGCATACCACCATGCCCAGCTAATTTTTTTTTTTAACTTTTTTTAGAGATGGGATCTCACTTTGGTGCTCAGGCTGGTCTTGAACTCCAGAGCTCAAGTGATCCTCCTGCCTCAGCCTTCCAGAGTGCTGGATTACAAGCATTAACCACCATGCCTGGCCCTTCATTTTCTTTTTAGGACTAATACTTTGTCCCAGCTTCTTCCTTCCTTCAGTTAGTCATTCCTATTTCATAATTCCCTTCTAGAACTTAGGTGACCAACCCTAGCTCTTACCATACCAGTCTTTGCATCCCTCAGATACCTAGGTCTCTTTATCAGTCCTCTAGGGAAGTTTATTGTCTTGTCCCCTCAGCTGCTGGAGACAGTACCTCAGAGCAATGAGAACCCATCTGTTGACCTGCCGCCCCCTAAGTCTGGTGAGTTCCAACTCTTGAAGGGGTTGGGGCTAGGGTCTGGAAAAGATGGGAGTTGATTATCCATAGGGATGAATTTTCAGGAGATGGCAAAGGTGGTAAAGCCTAATAAATGCTAGGTGGCAGGATTTCTGGCTCTTTGCCCCATTCATGATTCATAGATCACTTTCCTTTTGCTAGGTCCTCTGACTGTCCCATCTTGGGAAGAAGCTCCTCAAGTGCCACGTCTTCCACCCCCTGTCCATAAAACTAAGGTTCCCTTAGCTATGGCATCTAGTCTTTTCCGGGTCCATGAGCTTCCCTCATCCCATTTACAAGGCAATGTTCCCAGCAGTGGCTCCCCAGAGCAAGGTAAGCAGATCGTGGTTTACCAGGGAGAGAAAGAAAGAAGGCCCTTGGTGTGGAGCAAATACCTGGAACTTAAGGCCCTTCCTAATTCCCTGGGAGAGGGGATGAGACCTGGGGAAGAGGGTCCTAGGAGAATGACCATGATTGATACGTCTCTTAGGTGGAGATGGGCTCACATCCCCAAGGCAACTGATGGAGGTGTCTCAGCTGTTACGACTCTACCAGGCTCGGGGCTGGGGGGCCTTGCCTGCGGAGGATCTGCTGCTCTATCTGAAGAGGCCAGAACACAGCGGGTACAAACCTGGAAGGGATGAGGAAGGATTTGGCGGATAGACTCTGAAATAGATCAAGCCAAAAGAGTGGAGAGTGTATATTATACACTGAGTAGAATTTTTTTGTACTTTTCTGGGAAGGAAAGTGAAGGATGAGATGTAGCTAAACAAATCTCCTTCCCTCACTGCTCTTACTTGAAAAACTGCCTTTACTTACTAAAAAAAAAAATCTCAGGCCAGGCATGGTAGCTCACATCTGTGGTTCCAGCATACTGGGTGGCTGAGACAAAAAAAATCAAAATGAGCTGGGTGTGGTTGCACACAGCTCTAGTCCCAGCTACTTGCAGTGGCCTTGAGCTCCAGAGTTTGAGGCTGCCATGAGCTATGATTGACACCATTGCAGTCTAGAGACCCCATTTCTAAAAAAAAAAAAAAAAATGAAAAAAATTATCTTCCCCATGTCTATTTTATTTTTTTCTTCTTTTCACCCTGCAGTTCAAAACTCAGAATCCTAGAATTTTGACTATCTAATATAACTCTTTTTTTTGAGACAGAGCCTCAAGCTGTCCCCCTGGATAGAGTGCTGTGGCATCACAGCTCACAGCAACCTCCAACTCCTGGGCTCAAGCGAGTCTCCTGCCTTAGCCTCCCAAGTAGCTGGGACCACAGGCGCCTGCAACAACGCCCGGCTATTTTTTGGTTGCAGCCGTCATGGTTGTTTTTGGTGGGCCTGGGCTGGATTCAAACCCGCCACCTTAGGTGTATGTGGCTGGTGCCTTAGCCGCTTGAGCCACAGGCTCCTAGCCTAATATAACTCTTTATTTGATTCCACTAGTATCTCCTCCTATTTGAACCTCAGATCTATTGTGTTTGTTCTCATTTTTAAGAGACAAGTTGGGGAGTTGTTTTTCCATCCAGTGTTGAGTAAATTGAGGGAAGTTGTTCCCTCATCCTCATACCCCTGCTTTGTGTGGCAGGAGCGATGGCCGAGGGGATAATGTCCCCAGAAGGAACACAGACTCCCGCTTGGGTGAGATCCCCCGGAAAGAGGTGAGGGAAAGTCGGGCAGGGACCAGGGGAGAAAAGGGCTCTCGCTGACTAGTTCCTTTACCTCTGCACACTCTGCTGGCTTTGCCTTTCCATGGCCTGGCCTCTCAGTTCCAGTCCCCACTCTGCAGTATGGGCTTTTCCCTGCAGTGATTGACTGTGGCTCTCCCCATGCACTAAGGCTTTCCTCGGTGGGCTGGGGGATTGAGAACATATGACACTGACTTTTCTCTCTCTTTTCCCTTAACTCCCGGATTCCTTCCCAGGCTGTCCCTCGCCGCCTTGCTACAGCCCCTAAGACTGAAAAACCTCCCACCCGGGAAGAAAAGTGGGCACCCTGCCCCAAGTAACATGAGGAGCCGGGGGGGAGTCTGGAGATGAGCCTCTTCCCCTTTCTCCTCTTCTTTGTTCTCTTCTTGTTATTATTTTAATAAATGCTCAATAGTCTATATGAGAATTTGAAAAATGGAGGTTTTGTAGGAAAATATTTTGTAAAGAAACCCTATACTGTTTCAGTATGTTTTTTATATGTTACATGTTTATATGTTATTTCCTGTGGCGAAAGACATGAATGTTTTGAAAGAACAAGGTGTATAACTAGATTTTAGAAGTTTGAGTTCAGTGTTTAAAGAGTAAAACCTATGGAGTAATCAGCTCTGCTTGGTAGTGGAATGATAGATGGCTATTATTTTCTTTTTTATACATTTCTGTATTTTCCATATTTTCTAAAACATATATCACTTTAATCACAAAACAAACTTTTAATAAAAGAATAAGTTATTGTATAAAAAGTTTGAGTAAAAATTTGGTTGTTGGTGAGAGAGTTTTTAATTTTTTTTTTTTTTTTTGAGACAGAGCCTCAAGCTGTCCCTGGGGTAGAGTGCCATGGCTTCACTGCTCACAGCAACCTCTAACTCCTGGGCTCAAGCGAGTCTCCCGCCTCTGCCTCCTAAGTAGCTAGGACCACAGGTGCCCACCACAATGCTCGGCTATTTTGTGGTTGCAGCCATTATTGTTGTTTGGTGGGCCTGGGCTGGATTTGAACCCACCACCTTAGGTGTATGTGGCTGCGCCTTAGCTGCTTGAGCCACAGGTGCCGAGCCTTAAATTTTTTTTTTTTTTTTGAGGCAGAGTCTTACTTTCTTGCTGCCAGTAAGAGTCCTGTGCTGTCACAGCTCACAGCAACCTCAAACTCTTGGGCTCAAATCATTATCTTGCCTCAGTCTCCCAAGTAGCAGAGACTACAGGCACCTGCCATATAAGGCTATTTTTTAGAGATGAGTTCTCACTCTTGCTCAGGGTGGTCTTGAACTCAAGTGATCCATCTGCCTCAGCCTTCCAGAATGCTAGGATTATGCATTAGCTACTATGCATGGCCCAACAGAGTTTTCAATTTTAAGAGAAAATCATTCTTTGAGGTTGCATTAGTGGGATTCAAATTGGCAGATTCTGTTCCAGCCAGAACCCATGTTCTGTCTGTAATCTGCACTTTTATGGTTTTAAAATATGTGTGAAAGACCAGGATAGCATAGTGGCTCACACGTGTAATCCTAGTACTTGCAAGGCTGAGGCAGAAGGATCCCTTGAGGCCACCAATTTAAGACCAGTCTGAGCAAGAGCAAGGACCTCCTGTACAAAAAACAGAAAAATTAGCTAGGTGTGGTGGCATGTGCCTATCGTCCTATCTACTCAAAGGCTGAGGTAGGAGGATTGTTTGAGTCCAGGAGATGGAGGTTGCAGTGAGCTATGATGACACCACTGCACTCTAGCCAGGGTGACTGAGCAGTACCTTGTCTCAAAAAAAGAAAAAAAAAGTATAAAGGACTTGAGTGCTAGCAAGAATAAAAAGTCATGTTTGCAAAAATTTTGATCCTAATGCTCATTATAGAACAAAGAAAAACAATGTCAGGAAGAAAATAACATCTACATGACACTAACAAATCCCTGGCTTCATGGTACAAATGCTCAAAAACACATAGTACAATTTCAGTTAAACTGGCAGAGGATGCGGTGGAACTCCTAGCTCTAGAGCACAGTGCAGGACAGTGGTGACGGTAAGTACAGTTCTGAAGGGCCTGGTCCAAGGGCAGAGTTTACTAGATTCTCTGAAGAGGGCAAGGTCCTTCTATTTGATCCTGAATTATTTTATTAGATCTAGAATAGACATGATACCTAGAATAAACTGTGTCTCATACTAATAAATGTTTAGGTTTTATTTCCTTCCACCTAAGTACTTCCACCTAACGTCCAGAGAGGGGGAAAATGAAGAAAAGATGAAGATATATGACCAATAATTGTGTGGGTTCCCCTGCTCAGCTGTGTCAGGACAGCTGTCCCCAGGACCACTCTCTGGCATGTACAAGCAGAGAAACTAAAGGCAGGAGTAGCCCCAGGTTCAGTGGGCTTTTTGAGCCCTGGTTAGCCACGTATGGAAGTGTTTTCTGGGTTTTTTTTTTTAATTGAATGGTAACTGTGTACATTAATGCACTTCTGGGATACAGTGTAGTGTTTTCACAAACAATCTGAAACACTTCCATCAAACTAGTTAACATAGCCTTCATGTAATTTTCTTAGTTATTGTGTTAAAACGTTCATATTCTGCTCATAGAGTCACTTGTACCCTTGTAAGATGAACCACAGAAGTGAATCCTCGAATCCCCTCCCTCCACCCATTCCCCCCTCCCTCCCCCTTCCCCGTATCCTTAGGTTGTTATTAGGTTATAGCTTTCATATAAAAGGTATAAATTAGTTTCATAATAGTGTTTTCTGTTTTTTACCTCAAGTGCATAAATTGGTTTCACCACACCCTAATTCATGACCCACTATCATTGGTAAGATAGGGTTTTATGCCATTTTTGAAAGTTGCTAAAATGAGCACCCACTTCATTCTTTTCTTACTATCTCCTGGAGTCCAACCTGCCACCATTAGTCAACATGCCCTATATTTTTCTTGATGCAAAGCATAGTCTGGAGAACATTTCCTAAAACAACTCTTCAAAACACAATCAGCAAAGTGCACAGTGCTGACTTAACCATTTTGTAGCAACACAATTTCAATTTTTAAAAATATATATATTATACCCACATTAAAATGTGTTTCTTCACTAAGGACCACCAAGGAGGCTGAGAGGAGGAGAAAACCCATAGCTAAGCAGTTCTCCAATTTTTCCATCTGTAATCATTTTAGGATATTCTGGGGGTGGGGATGAAAGATTTTTAAGAGTTCCACTGAAAACTGCTTACAGAGAAAGTGGGTGTAGTCTTATTTAAGGTCAGTATCACTTAGCATATGGTGTTGAGATGAAACTTTGATTAACAACTCACAGCTATTGTGGTTGGGGGTAGAGAAGGTCCTGGTGGTGGAATATTAGGGTGAAGAGTCAGCTGCTAAACAGAGAAACCCAGTGATGTGGTTGCCTTTGGACAAAGTTTATTTCTCTGGTTAAGATCCTAAGCAGTGGGATAGTCATACTCTCCATGGTCATTTAGGGCCTCAGGTTCCTTCTGTCTGGTTTTTCTGTTTGTGGTGTTGAAGCAAGATCAATGTCATGTAGGACTCTCAGTTGGCAAGCAAGGGAAAGAACTATGTCCAGTGTCCTAAGACCCATACCTGTGGCTCGGCGCCTGTGGCTCAAGCAGCTAAGGCGCCAGCCACATACACCTAAGGTGGTGGGTTTGAATCCCCAGCCCGGGCCCGCCAAACAACAATAATGGCTGCAACCAAAAAATGGCCAGGCGTTGTGGCGGGCGCCTGTAGTCCCAGCTACTTGGGAGGCTGAGGCAGGAGACTCGCTTAAGCCCAGGAGTTGGAGGTTGCTGTGAGCTGTGATGCCATGGTACTCTACCCAGGGGAATAGCTTGAGGCTCTGTCTCAAAAAAAAAAAAAAAAAAGACCCATTCCTGAAATGCTACACATCAATTCTGCTCATATTTCATTGGCAGAACTTTGGTCACATGGACACATATGACTGTAAGAGACTCAGAAATGTAGCCTAGCTGTGCTACCATGTATGCAGCAATAAACATTATTCAAGAACTAAGGAAGAAGGACCAGGTTTGGTGGCTCACACCTATAATACTAGCACTCTGGGAGGCTGAGGCAGGTGGACTGCTTGAGCTCAGGAGTTGGAGACCAGCCTGAGCAAGAGCAAGACACCATCTCTAAAAATAACTGGGCATTGGAGTGGACACATGTCCTAGCTACTCGGGAGGCTAAGGCAAAAGAATCACCTGAGCCCAAGAGTTTTGAGGTTGCTGTGAACTGTGAGGCCATAGCACTCTAGCAAGGGCAACAGAGTGAGACTCTGTCTTAAAAACAAACAAACAAAAGCCAAAAAAAAAAAAAAAAAAAAAAACTAAGGAAGAAGGAGAAAATGGATTTTGGTATGGCCTCCCTGAGAGAATCTGCAAACTAATAATTCTTAAGACAAATCATGCCAATAATTAGTAGTGACTAACTGCAGATAATCAAAAAACATGGGACATATGTAAATTAGTTGAAGATGCACAAATGAACTAACTAGCCCATCCAAAACGGAGTTAGTACAGGAAGAGGAAAGAACTTAAATTCAAATCAGTATTCTCATTGGGAAGAGAAAGATGGTATGGAAAAATACAGTCATTGAACAAGAATTTTAGGTTAAAAAAATATTAAAAAGCAGAATGGACTGTACTTGAAACTACACATTTTATTTTACTTTTATCTTTTTTTTATTGAGACAGCGTCTCACTTTGTCATGCTTGATAGAGTGTTGTGCATCATAGCTCACAGCAAACTCAAACTTTTGGGCTCAAGCGATTCTCTTGCCTCAGCCTCCCTAGCTGGTAGCTGGGACTACAGGTGCCCACCACAATGCCCAGCTATTTTTTTTGTGGTTGTTGTTTAGCAGGCCTGGGCCTGGTTCAAACCCACCACCGAGCTACCTAACCACCGAGCTACCGGGGCCCGCACTTTTTTCTTTTTTTTGAGATGGAGTCTCACTCTGTCACACTGGGTAGAATGTTATGGCATCATAGCTTACAGCAACCTCAAACTCTTGGGCTCAAGAGATCCTCTTGCTTCAGCCTCCCCAGTAGCTGGGACCACAGGCACCCACCACAATGCCTGGCTATTTTTACAGACAGGGTGTTGCTCTAGCTCAGGCTGGTTTCCAGTGCCTGAGCTCAAGCAATGTATTGGCCTCGGCTTCCCAGAGTGCTGGGATTACACGTGTGAGCCACCACACTTAGCCTGTACATTTTATTTTATTTTTTTAGAGATAGAGTCTTGCTTTGTCACTCTAGGTAGAGTGCTATGGCATCATAGCTCATGGCAACCTCCAGCTCTTGGGTTTAGGTGATTCTCTTCCCTTAGCCTCCCAATAACTGGGACTACAGGCACCCGCCACAATGCCCAGCTATTTTTTTGTTGTTGTTGCAGTTTGGCCAGAGCGGGGTTCAAACCCACCACCCTCAGTATATGGGGCT